TGAGCTTTGATTTGGTCGTGTCCTCCATTGTCCCCTGCCTTGCCTTTACGGTTATTTGGACCTCTGGGGCAGACCCTGACTGCTCAGCCGGGGACTAGGAGGGGGCCGGAGGGAGAGGGCCATGGGGAGGAGGGCCCTGCCCCTTTGCCCCTTGGACAGGCTGGACGGGCCACCTCGGGACCGAGGCTTGGGGCCGGGAAGGTGTTCCTTATTTATGCGTTTTTGCATTTTTACTGCCAGGAAGGAGACAACCGTGGGATCTCCTGCCTCATATCAACTGGCGCTTGACTAGGGTCAGAGGTGGGAAGTATATACTGTTCCGCCTCAGGCAGCAAAACACCTGGGATGGGCCCTGCATTAGGCTCATCTAGACAGAATGCTTTAAGAGGAGAAACTGGGTGCCCGCCTTCCCTCCCGTCTCTCTTCCTAGGCTAAAGGGAAGGCTTCTCCAAGAACCAAAGCTAAAATTTTCTCAAAGAACCAAGGGAGCCCTCCTTTCTCCTTCGACGGAGGCCTTGGAATAAAGCCTGTGGGCAACCACAATCCCAGAATGGAGAAGGAGACTCGGGACTGCCAGCGTGTGTGTGTGTGTGTGTGTGTGTGATGTGCCTTCAAGTCACTTCCAACTTATGGCGACCCTATCCTGGGGTTTCCTTGGCAAGTCTTTTCGGGCCGCCAGCAGAACCAAAGGGGCTTTTCGGCAGGCTTCGCCTTGGAGCAGCGCCACCGCGCGTTCAGGGTGCGCAATGCAGCTCGAAGGCGTGCGGTCGTGGCAACCCTCCTGGCTGCCCTCTTCAAGGCCTGGGCACAGGAGAGATGCCCCAAGGGGTCTAGGCAGGGGGAGCAGCCGCCTGGGCGGGGAGACAAGAGGCCTCTGGGGCAGGCAATTCACCGCACTCTTTCGTCTCCCTCCTTCGGCGAGCACTGCTGAAGACCCAGGAAGGACCCGCACCGAGTGGCAGAGAGGGTGGCACCGTGATGGAGGGGGTACAAGGTTAGGGTGGTACTTCGGGGCGGAAGGCCTCTGAGGATCGGGTGAAGAGGGGCCTTGGAGGAAGGGCAGCCGCGCAGTGGCTGAACCGGGCTGAGCCCAGGGTGACCAGGTGTGTCCCAATAACCGCAAAGGAAGACCAAGCACCGCGAAATGGAGGACATGACCAAAGCAAAGCTAAAAACGCACATATCCATGTTTCATGGTCATGCTCAAAATGGAAGACATTCAAGAAAAAATTAGGACATGGCCAAATAAAAGCTAAAACACTCTTATAAACATAAATCCATGCTTCTTATTCGTGCTCCAAATGGAGGACATTATGGAATTCCTCCTGGACAGAAGAGGAGGAATGGAGTGGAGGACCTGTCCTTGAAAAGGAGGGCGTGTCTGGTCACCCTGGCTGGTGGGTGGCACTGCCCTCTGCCTCTTCCCCTTGGAAAGAGTCCCTCTGAGCTGAGCAGGAGTTGCCCCAAGCAAGTCCCCCAAAGGGACTTTTGCAAGGGATTTAGCTCTCCTCGCCAGTCTTACCTCGGGTTAAGCGACCCGGGCGAAGTCTTGAGGATCGGGTTAAGAGGGGCCTTTGAAAGCCTTTCTTCCCAGCCAAAAGGCTCCAAAAGTCTCAGCAGCGTCTCAGGACCCCTTGAGGACGCCTGAGGTCAGAAGAAGATCAAGTCCTGGGAGGCTTTGGGGTGGGGTTGCAGAGGACCCAGAGGCATCCATCATTGCAAGAGGAAGACCAAGGACGAGGTCGCAGGGGGGAGCCTGCTTGGCCAGTGCCTTCAGCCAGCCTGTGGGGGTTATCCTCTTTGCCAAAGGGGGGTCTAAGCCTGACCCATCGTGCTTGTGGGGCGCTTGGAGCACCTAAGGGTGCTGCTTCGAGTCACACTGCGAGCCTTCCCTCCGGAGAAAGACTCACTGAGCTGGATCGGATTTTCGCCCAGGAGACTCTCGCAACCAAGGATGGTTTTGAGGTGAAGGGAGTCAGCGTGGTCTAGTGCTTTGGGCTGGGTGTTGGATTATGCCTCTGGTGGAGACATGTTCAACATCCCTCTGACCTTCTCATCCAATCTCCGCTCAGCCATGGAAATTCTCTGAGTGACCTTGGGCAAGTCACACTCTCTCAGCGTCAAAAGATGGCAATGGCAAACTTCCTCTGAGCAAATCTTGCCGAGAAAACCCCATAATAGGATCGCCTTAAGGCTCCCCACAAGTCGGAAATTACTTGAAGGCTCACAGCAACAATAAAGCCGGGGACAAAGTAGGGCTGCCAGGTGTCCCTTACTTTAAAGGGTGCCTCTTATGTGAGGGTCAAAAAATATGGCTCTTATAGGGCTGGTAGGTGACCCTTATTATGAGAGATGTCCCTTATTCGAGAGTTGGGAAACTATTCCTTTTATATAGCTTCGATAAGATGCAATATATATAAATCATTTTTTCGAGGCCCTTCCTAAAGATAGAAATCTCTGCATCATATAATTTGTGAATGTGAGCAGAGAATTATGAATTTCCCAGAGAAATCCAGGGGGCTATGTGACCTGAATACTTTCATTTGGTATTTAGACAGAACACAAACTTGTCAATCGGAACAGCCTCACTGTCAGCCCTGCTGTCCCATCGGGCTCTTTGGAAGGCCAGGCAAGGCCAGGACAAAAATTGGGATCATTGGGACGCCTTCGGGTCTCATCCGGAACTCGCGACTCTTTTCCCATCGAGTCCTTGGTGGGAGTTTTGGCCCCGTGAAAAAACCTTCCTCCAGGCGCCTTCTTCTGTATTACCTCCGAAATCTTGCGCCTGGAGGCTGCCTTTAATTAAGGTCGATGGATGAGAAGGTCAGAGGGATGTTGAACATGACTCTGGGAGATCCGGGTTCGAATCTTAGCTCGGCCATGGAAAGCCCACTGGGTGACCTTGGGCAAGTCCCACTCTCTCAGCCTCAGAGGAAGAATAAATTAGGCCAAAAAAGGATAGCCGTAAGTCCTAGTAAAAGGATAGTTGGAGGATAGTCATAAGTCCTAGTGAAAGGATGGTTAGCCATAAGTCCTAATTAAAGGATAGTTAAAGGATAGCCATAAGCCCTAGTGAAAGGATAGTTAGCCCTAACTCCTAATTAAATTTGAAGGTATATATAGCAATAACTAATTAGAGAGTTCCCCATTCCTCCCTCCTAAATCCAAGAGTCACCTCAAATCCGAACGGCTTTGGGCAAGTTTCGAGATCATTTTGGATTTGTTTTAGTATTAAGATTTTTTAAAAAATTACAGTCCGATCGACTTCAGGGAAAGCTACCTGAGCATAGGTGGCTTTCGGGCTGTCCCTATCAACCCCTCCCCAAATAATCCTAGCCCTTTTCCTGGGGTGCTTCCCCTCACCCCTTTCTACCCTCTCATGCCAGCCTCGACTTTGCCCAAATAACGCCACAGATCCGGTTCAGAAGTGGATCTGTTGGCTGAATCCAGACAGGCACAAACTCCCTGAAGAGAACGGTGGCGGCTTCTCTTAAAAAGCAGTGTGTGTGTGTGTGTGTGTGTGTTGTTTTTCTGGCCAAGAGCAACTCTTGAACGAGGCGGAGGGCGGCTTGGAGCAGATAAGGCTAACGAGCCTGGCTGCCTTTGCGGCCTGCCCTTAATTGCCTTTGATGGCTTCCTGATAGGCAGCAATAGATCCAGCCTTGCCTCTCTTCTTTCCAGATCGGAATCCCCTCTTTCTAACACGATTCGTGATCTTTGAGAAAATCCCCCAAAGGACAGCGTTCGTTTCTACCCAAGTTCGCCCAGAAATGCCTCCGATCCACCAAAGATCCCCTTTTAAAGGCCTGCCTTACCTACGAAAGACCGACCGCATGCCTCCCAATTGTTCAGCGCCCACAATACACAAAAAACATATCCAGGAGTAGCCCTGTCGGCCGTGGGGCAAAGTACAATAACATCCAAAATCCACAAAACAGTGATGCCCTGATTGGGGCCAACCCAAAATGCACAAAATACACGAAGGGACCCTCATTCCAGAATTTCCATGACTTCCATGAAATAATTTATTTGGAAATAAAACTGGGAGGATTTCGACCCAAGAGGTTTGTTACGGATCCTAAAAGCAGAGAGGAGAAAGTGAGGGTGCTCAATATTAACGGCACACGCAACGTTGAAAAGAAAGGAGTGGCCCCGTTAATATTTTTAAAAAGGAAATACAAGATGGCCCTCCGTATCCACGGATTCTTTATCCACGAATCCAACTAACCCTTCCTTGAAAATATTCCCCGCCAAGAAAAA